GATGTCACTCGATAAATTTTGTGATTTAAACTGACATAATTGAATCAACCTAAAATCAGTTGGCTTTGAAATTCAAAAATCATTAATAAACAAACAGATATTGCAATTGAAAAAATAACTATATTATTTAAAATTGAGTTAAATTAATCCAGGACATTATTTTTGTTAGTTTTTTTCCTATTTAAACCACGGACCTCCTCCATATAATGAAGAGTGATATTATGGAAGGGCACACAGGAGGATAACTTGATCAGCAAGGTGACTCTACGTAGGGTACCATCAACAATCAGATCAACAACAACCACACAAGAAAACACGTGTTTAAAAGTTGTCAAGAACGTTAAAGGATTTTATATGTTTCTGACACAGGTGTTTAGGAGTATTGATGTCGGTGGTAAGCTTTAAAATGTATATATTTATAAATCGCTAACTGAATAAAAAATAGGTTTGATTCATTTTATTATTTTTGTTATAATACAAGATAAGTATAATATGTTGTAAAACATGAGTCAAAATTAATTATTAGTCCAGTGTTAAGAACTCACTCAAATATCTCATGAGATCCAAGTTTAATTCCCTACATCTCATGAGACCCAAGTTTAATTCCCTCCATTTATTATTTTTTCAATTTGTTTTCTCTGTCATATAGTCAAATTATTAAATTGAATTAACATTATAACTAAATTGATAGCATTTATAGATATTGAGGATCAAATATGTAATTATATCAATTTTATTAACTGTCATGTCAGCATTTCTATTAAATGTTAACAACAAGTGGCTTGATTGAATGTATGTAAATAATTAGATGACTTGATCAACAAAATTTAAAAAATGAGAGTTAAAATGAAAAAAGACAATAATTAGGTGTAAGTGGTATAATCTGTAAAAAATATTATAGAAAATAATTTAATTAATATTTTATTTTAAATAATTTACATTTAGATTTTTAACTAATTTATAATTATATGTTGAGTATTTTACAATTTTAAATTTTTATAAATTAAATTAATGGTGCTCGTCGAGTATTGTATAATTTTATATTATTAATTAAATTAGTTAAAATTTTATATTATTTGTAGATAAATTTAAATCTGAAACTATAAATTCAAATTTATAAAAAAAATATTGATATCCAACTTAATATTATCCTTAAATATAAAAATTCAATTATTCATTTTATTTTACATATTAAACCAAAATTTATATTACATATATAAAAAATATCTAACATAATTATTATCTTATTTAAAGTAAATTTTATATTAATTTTGTTATGTATAAGTTAAATTTTATAGTTTAATTCGATCAATATATATACATGTGTGTTTTTATACTATAAATCTTTGATTTTAATTTAAAGTTATATAAAAATAATATAATTATGTTACAGTAACTTGAAATAATTAGATTAAAAAATATAACTTAAATATATAAATTATTCATAATATATAAATTAATAATAATTTTTAACTTGATAAATTTAACAACTATCATTAATAAGAATCAAAAATTAAATATTTTAAAAATAAAAAATATAAAAATCAAATTAAATATTAAAACTAAAATTTCAATTTAGACTTCATATATAGCAACTAATAAAAGAATTTAGCTCTTTCAGGGGAAAAAAAGAATTTAGGGTATTTAAACTACTATTTTTGTTCTATTATGGTATTTAATTTTTTTTTTCAAAATCATACATAACATTTAGTTTATATTTCATTTTAGTACATTACCATAAAAAATTTAACAGTGATGTTGACATGTCACTATAAGATAATACTGCATCATATTGAAAATAAAAAAATGTCACATCAGTTTTTTAAATTTTTTAACTACGAATACTAAATTAAAACTTAAACTAAACATTAAACATGATTTTTTAAAATATAGTTGAATAAATCAACTCTAAAAATAAAAATAAGAGATTAATACTAAACATGTAGTTACCCAAAATTTAACATGATAATGGAATAGGGCATCAGTCCCACACTTCTTCCTCTGGCATCCGTTTCAAAGTGACCCCATGTGACCACCGACAACAGCCAGCTGCAATCAATCACGACCCGTGTTCTATCCTCTACGGTCACTATCTCCACATTCTCTTCCACTCCACCAATAATAGATCGCCACATCACCACTCCAACCTCATCTTTTCACAATACCACCCTTAATCCCCATCAAAATTATCAGATCACCAACAACTCCTTGACGTGGCATCCAAAACCAGCAACTTACACATCTAGTCAAAACTCACACGAACGTACTCCCTCAGCATAGCGTAATAATTTTTTTTTTCAATTTCCCACTTTTATATAAGGGTAAAGTATAGTAATGGTCACTGAACTTTTCTGATGCTTGCATTTAGCTCCTCAAACTTTTAAAACTTACGATACAATCCTCTAACATTTAGTTTGTTTGTAATATGGTCCCCGACGTAACCGACTGTTTGACGTTCGTTACACAGCCATTAGAAGATGATGATTTGGCAGTGAGATCACCTTTTACAACTATGAAAATTAGGATAAATTATATAATTGGTCACTAAATTTGTCAGGCGCTTGCATTTAGGTCCATCAACTTTTAAAACTTACAACACATTCCTCAATTTAATTCTAAACCTCAAATTCCTTTTCAATCTCGAATTTTCTTTTTCGCTTCTCTCTTCTAATTTCCTTAACAACTTTTTAGTCGATGATGCATGGGAAATTATAATCTAACTTTGAATTCTATGGAGGTGTTGACTTGAATAAGGGTCAATTGAGAGAATATTCGACCAAGGGGCTATCGATACCATAAACTATTCAAGGCGTAATGTTAGATACATATCATCTCAGGTGGAGCATTGATGTTTGATTAAATGTTTGTGAGAAAAAATAGGGTTAGAAATGCAGAGTTGACAAATACTACTAAGATGAACTAAGTATCATTGTCGAAAGTCACCAACAAAGCTGAAATTATTTTGTATAAATGACATATAATAATTTCTTCGTTTAATCCTTGTGTTAAAGATTTTCCAACGGATGATCAAATATAATGAAATCCCAAACATCACCTTCACCTCTTTGTCTCTTTCGCTCGCATGCACTCTCGTTTGATTTTTGTTCTTCAGTTTTCAGCCATGTAAAATTGTAAATCCAAGCAGTGCTCTGTCTTTCAGCTTTTTATTTACAAAGAAAAAATAAAGGAAGAATTGCTGAAACACAACACTGATTACATTTATTTCTTAGTCTCTCTCTTCACTTGCAAGAAGGTGTTTATTTTCTCTTTTGGGCTCTCCGGAAGTAAGCTTTTCCTCTTTCACTTGTATTATGATGGACTGAATATCTTTCATAAGGTGTACTAAAAGTTTTGATTAAGAAGAAATAAATAAAATTAGATGGTTTTGGTTCAAAACTAACATTGAATATTAATATCCTTGACATGCAGTCAAATAGTAAATTAATGTTCAAATTCCAAACACTTCAATTACATTTTGAACCCTAAATTCCAAAATACTTAAATATATAAACCCTAAATTGAAGTATTTTAGAATTTAAGGTTCAGAATGTAATTGAATTATTTTGGAATTTGGGATTTAGAATTAAATTGAGGATTGTGTTGTAAGTTTTAAAAGTTGAGAGACCTAAATACAACGCCTGAAAAGTTCAGTGACCATTTATATAATTACCCTAATTTTCATAGCTGCAAGTGGTGATCATATTGCTACGTCATCTTCTTCTAACGGCAGTGTAATGGCGTCAAATGGACGGTTACGTCGGGACCATATTGCAAAGAACTAAATGTTGGATGACTATATTGCAAGTTTAAAAAGTTTTGAGATCTAAATGCAATATTAAACAAAGTTCAGTGACTATTACTATACTTTATACTTTCTTTAATTTCCTTTATATCACACTCATTTGATCATCATTTCGCTGCCTCTACAGTCTTTTTATTTGTGCATTTCTTCAATACATTTTTCAAGAAAAACCCAGCAAGAAAATGGCCAAAGTTTTGTTGTTCGTTGCACTATGTGTGCTTCCAGCTTTGGTCAGTGCTACTCGCATGGTGAAGGACCCATTGATGTTCAAGGGCATGTGTACTGTGACCGTTGCCGTGCTGGTTTTGAAACCCCAAGAGTCAATTCGTACCTGGTACCTTTTCATTTCTCTTCTACTTTTGTGTGTTTATGTTGGATCTGGTGGCTTAGCTTCTGAGCTGATAGAAGTGTGTAGTAGTTTCAGGTTTTGAAGTTACTTTGAGTTGAAGAGAACCTAAGGGTACGTGGAACTGGTGGTCAATTTTAGTCTTTTTTTTCCTTTTCACTACTGAAAATCACAAAGTACGAATCTTGCAAATCAATAGGCTGTTCAAAGGTGTACATTTTAATGAAAAGCTGAGAATTTTATGTTTTTTAAGATGATGGGTTTGCTCCCAAAAATGTAGTTCTTGGATATGGAAGAGGATGTGGCTGTTGGTGTTGTTAAGAACTGAGTTTCCCCATTATTTTTGCATAAAAAAATTGTCCTTTGCTTCATGTTAGTGTTTTGGTTCTGAATATTGATTTTCTGGTATCATATGCTTTTGCAGATGCCAAGGTTAAGGTGGTATGCTACGACAGGAAGACCAACCAAGTTGTCTACGAGAGGGAGGGATACACCGATAAAGCCGGAAAATACGAGATCCCTGTTCATGAGGATCACTTGGATCAGATCTGTGATGCAGTTCTAGTGAAGAGCTCCCAGCTTGACTGTGCCACAGTGACCCCAGGTCGTGAACGTGCCACCGTGATCTTGACCAACGACAATGGCATTGCATCCACCACTCGCTATGCCAATGCCATGGGCTTCATGGCTGATGAGCCTGAAGCTGGCTGTGCTGAGATCATGAAGATGTACCAGGAAGATGAGGAAGATGTTTAGAGTGTGGTTTGGGGTTTTTATTTGCCTATGAAATATGTTGTCTGCTATTGTTATGTGTATTTCTTGGTTTACTTCTACATTTAGAGGGGGCTTAAAATAGCTTATTCCTTTGAATGTTATGGTTTCTGTCTGAGAAGTATTTTTTTGAGTAATTGCTGTTCTTTTCACCTGATGAATCTACCAAGACAATACAAAACGAAACTTCTACTCATAACTTGTAAGTAAAGATGGATTTAAAAGTTCTGTTTATTGGATACGGTAGATATGATCTGTATCATAGAACAACTTGAATCTCTGATTCTCTGTCTCCAATGCTCAACAAATAAGACCCTTCTTGTATTGCCATCAAACCATCTTCATTGGCTGAGCTAAGATGCTCACATGGCCTCAACTCAAATTCAATATCGGCACTTTCACCTGCATTCAGATTAACACTCTGGAATGCTACTAATTGTTTCACTGGCCTCCCATTACTTGCTTTTTCCGGCCTCACAAATAGCAATAGGGGATGCTTTCCCGCCATGATGCCATCGTTTTGAACTCTAAGCGTGACAGGGTACTTCATCTTGTCACAAACTTCTGTTCCCATCTCTGAAACTAGCATGTATCTGAGAGGATTTGAGTTCTCAACTATCTGAGAACTTGACTGATTGTTTAAATAGACCTTGTTTTGTGTCATAGGGAGAAACTGGTAAATATAGTTTGAGTAGCTCAGACCATAACCAAATTCAAAAACCTTGGGTCCTTGGTAGAATCTATAGGTGCGACCGGGATAGCTGGAAGATGGTTCGGGACGCATTCTCATGTCTGTCATTGGTATTTTAACGTAATTTTGCGGATACCAAGTAACTGGTAACCTCCCTCCTGCATATAAACAGGAAGCTTGCAACTTAAGTATGCCTTTTGTTTAGACTACAACACAAGACAGATAAACGATAACTCACCAGGGTTGTGATCACCAAATATAATTTCTGCAAGTGCACGACCTCCGACTTCACCTGGATAACCGGCCCATAGAATGCCTCCGATGCGTTTATCGTTTTTGGCAAACGATATGTCAATCGGACCTCCTGATAGAAGCACCAAAATGACTGGAATCTTAGCAACTCTTGCAATGGTGGATATCAGGTTTTGTTGCTTTGGTGGAAGAACCAAGTCAACACGATCGTGATCTTCTCTCTCTTGGGTTTGATCCAATCCCATTACTAACACCACATGATCTGTTCCCTTTGCCATATTCACTGCTTGAGCAGTGAAAGCAGAAGAACAGTTGACTGCATCACAACCTTGGTGATACCTGATGTCTTTAACATAGTTTTTCAATCCTTGCAATGGCGTAATGGGTTTGCAAGGAGGGCCTGCATAGTTTCCAATGAGAGTTTTTGCAGAATCAGCATTAGGGCCTATTACTGAAAGGGAAGTAGTTTTGGTTTTCGAAAGTGGAAGGAGCTTGTCAGTGTTTTTCAGAAGAACAATGCCATTCCGAGCAGCTTCAAGGGCAAGATTCCGATGCTCGTGAGAACAAACCTGATCCGAATGTATGTTACCGAAAGGCTGTCTTACTGGATTACCGTTGAAAAACCCGAGCCTCATTCTGACAGAGAAAAGGTTATGAAGGGCTCTATCTATTTCAGATACAGGCAATTTTCTCTTTTCAACAGCTGATTTGGTGTATTTCTTCAAATAGGTACCACAGTTGACATCCATTCCTGTGAAATTCCACAATCAAAAGTTAATAACGATGATATTGGCATCCGTCAACATAAAAAATGATAATTGAGGCGAAGAAAAGTTCAAAATACCGGCTTTAAGAACATCTGCTACAGCATCCTCTGGCAGTTTAGCATATCCTTGATCTTCATGAATGATGGAGACAGCATCACAGTCAGAGGTGATGTACCTGATTATATTTTAACCAAGATAATCATAAAAATAATCTTTCTGGAAATGTTATGGCTGAAACGGAAAGAGCCTAATCATATTACCCATTGAAACCCCACTGGCCTCGGGCTGTTTTCGACAACAGATCATAATCAGCACAGTTGGGGACTCCATTAACACGATTGTAAGCGCACATTATCCCACTGGCATTCCCTTGTTGAATGCAACTCTTGAATGGTGGCTGATATGTATCTGCTAAATCCTGTAAACTAACCTGAAATCCAAAGAAATGGCCAAATGGGGTCTTTCAAATAATCAAAAAGCAATCAAATAAACAAACAAAGTTTGAAACTTACTTTTGCATTGAATACATATCTTGTCATTCCTCTCCAGTTATCTAAATCATAAGCTGTAAAATGCTTACAACAAGCAGAAGCTTGAAGATGTTCACCAAGTTTCCCACCTTCAAAAGAATCCCCTTGTAATCCTCTCACAAATGACACTGCATATTTCCCAGTAACCATAGGATCCTCACCAGGTGTTTCTTGCCCTCTCCCCCACCTCGGGTCCCTATATATATTGATATTTGGTGCCCAAAATGTCATCCCTTTTGCTTGTCCAACGTTGTAAATTGCTCTGGCTTCTATTCCAACCGCCTAAAGACAATCATCAAAAGATGAAAAATGGTTCTCGTGGACCTTTAGTCGAACATAGAACATGCAGTACTTTAAAGGACTTGCCTGGCCAATGCGATACCAGAGGTGAGCATCGAAGGTTGCAGCGGTGAGAATGACTTGAGGGAAACTAGTGGCTGATCGAATTGTTCCGTTGAAACGAATGCCTTGCGTGACCCTCAAAGAATAGGCTACTCCATGTAAAGCTTCGGACCACCATTGATAGTCCGGAATGCCGAGTCTTGGAATAGCCGGAGCTGAGTTAACGAGTTGGGATATTTTTTCATCTAATGTGAGCCTGGAAACCAGATCTTGAACGCGTTGGGTGATGGGGAGTGTGGTTCTGCAGAAAGGGTAGGAATTGGTTCGTGGGTCGGATGAGTCGCAGGAGAAGGGAGGTTGAGTCGACTCGGATGCGATGAGTAGCAATGAAGTGACGTGAATGAGATGAAGTAGAGACGGAGTTCGGAGCTTCATGTCGGTGACTGAATCGTGTGAGCACTGAGCAGAACGGGCATGAGTGAAAAGATAAGGAAAGTGTTCTGTGGGAGCTTTGGTGCATGCATTGTCTTATTAATTATAGGACCACTGTCACAGTGAATGGTCTGGACTCAACCTTGCTTGCTTACTCTGCTAAAAGATAATATTGCAACTCGTCTGTTTGAGACCGGTTTTGTCCGGGATTTTTAGTGTTTTTATTTTTATTATTATAATTATTAAATATTAGATATTTATTTTATTTTATTTTTTTAGGTCATTATAAAGATTCAATTTGGGTTTAAGTCCAAACCATGTTACAAGACCCAAAATACAGCAAGTCTAGCAGGCCACGCCTATAAACCTAACCATCATCAATTGACTTTATGTGACGTGTCAACAACCGAGCCCATGAGCCAACTGTTCAACTCGTGCAATCGTCTGGGATTGTACCTGCAACAAAAAATAACAAAAATGGATTTTCTCTCAGCCATGTATAGAGGCCAGCAAGGCATGCAGTTATGGACGGTTTTTGGGATATTTTTAATTATCAAGAAAACCGTGGGGGATTAGTCATCAGCAGTTAACCAGAAAAGAGGGGAGCACGAAAAAACCTCCTCTATCTGTTTTTGACAGGGAGAGATTCATTAAATGGGGAAAACAATTGTAACAGGGGGATAGAAACAGTGTAATAGGTTCTTTTCTCCTCATATTCGAGAAAGGACAGAGAAAACAACTTTTTTTCTTATTTCTTTTACAAAGAAGAGCAAACAAGGAGGAGAAAAACAGTGAGTGCACGGAGGGACTTCTGCTACGGTATTCGAAAAGAAAAGCCATTTTGGATTTTCATTCAGGAACCACTAAAAAAACCATTGTAGCAGAAAAAGAGAACATATCAAAAAAATTTGTAAATGTCTTTCGACAACCAATTTCAAAGGAATAAAGGAAAGCATTTTTTTTATTTCACTCTGGCAGTAGAAGTAAATATCACTCATTCACATAGGCAATAGCAATTTCTTGAGGTATATTCATTCTAAGTTCATTTTTGATTTACAGTGTAGTGTGTGTGTTCTATTTTGAAATAAGCATAATAAAAGAAGGGAGTTTTGAAGTAAAAACAGAAATGAATAGTTGGTTTTATACCTTATTTCGGTTAGATTTCACCGAAGAGGAATGATCCCAAGCCTTCGTCGGGAGTGGAAACTTATGTTAGACACGAGTAGTGAAAGGGTCGAGGCGTTTAGGGACCGGGGTTAGTATTTGTAAATCAGATAAGTCCGAGGAAAAAAACAAGAAATGAAATAGAAAGAGAGATAAGGACACGCTTACCTAAGAGATGAGTCTTGTCTTAGTTCGTCGGAGATAGAAGTAAATAAAGGGTCGAAGGTCATTCCCGGTGTTTAAGGGTCGATTTAGCAAGCTTTAGCCTCGAGTTTATGGTCTAGAGGGGAAACCGAGGTGTGGAGGTTGGTTTAGGATTAGTTTTCTCCAGCCATTGTTGAGCGGTGGCCGATGATAGTGTTAGATTTGCGAGGAACCACGTTTCAGAGAAAGAGAGAAGGCTATGAGTGATCATCGGTGAAAGGCGACCAAGCGTCAGCCAGAGGGCCTTTTTGAGTGGGCTGTGTTGTTAATAGTGGCAATTAGAGCTCTGGTTTGGCAAAAGTTTCAGTGATGGAGGCTAGGGTAAGGGGTTTCAAACTGATAAAAGAAAGGGAAAATGATGAGAAAGTTGACTATGGGAGAGTGATATTAGATTTAGGTTTTTTAGTTCAAATTTAAAGAGGTTAATTAAACCCTAAAAAAGGGTAGCATTTTGGATATTTTGGTTAACCTGTGTTTTGTGAGTAGGATAATGACAGGTGAGGTTCATCAGTTTTAAACTTGCTACGTTTTAGTCCTCAAATTGAGTCTTTTATGTTTTTAATTTGGTCTTTGTATTTTATGCACTTTTAATGTTAGTCCTAAATGTTAATTTATTTAATTACTGTAATTTAGACATTAGAACTCTAAATTTTTGCATGTTACTTTTTAGTCTCGAGTATGGTTAGGGTTTATTTTGACGTTAGTCCTTTATAATGGTATTTTGTTTTGTTTCAGTTTCATTATTATTTATAGTATAATACTTGTTTTCGTATATTTGTTATTATTTAGATAATTGCATAATATTTTCAGTTAATTCATGTATGATACCCTCACATGCATAACTTGACTTAAAAATACATAATCAGATTAAGGGTAATACCCTTTTAATTTAAGACTGTTTTAAGGGGCTTGTCTTAACTTATTAGAAAGCCACTCTTGATGATTTTAAATTAAACGTGTATCCCATTAATAACACCAAAAAAATTCTTCACTTAAAATTTGGGAACGAAATAAAAAGAAATGTTCGGTTATTTAAATTTTTCGAGAAAAGATTGTTAGAACTTATCTAAGATCTAGTCTCAATATTTTTAAATAACTGCATATTCTTTATCTTTATAAAAGGCTTGGTAATTTTTATTTAATCTATTGTGGTGCTTTTGAATATTATAATTCAGTATGAAATTTGCATCTTTGTTGTGTTATGGGATTATAAATCAAATGAAAGTCGAATTTGTAAATTTCATTGCAAAGACATTAATTAATCGATTAGGTACCGATTTAAGGCGTTGTAGAGGTGCTAATCCTTCCCCACACGTAATCGACTCCAGAACTCATTTTCTTGTAACGCAGACCTAGACTTGTCATTTTAATTAAAATTAATTTTTATTTAAAATGGCAAAACATTTATGGGTGCCTAATCACACCCTAATCAAATATTAGTGGCGACTCCTCGTATCGTATGTTTTTTTATCGTAAAGAGAATCCCAAATTTTTTCGAAACAAGAGGTTTTTAAATCACATTACTTTTTAATTAAAAATTAATCAAATTAAGAGGTAAATTAAAAATGGTGTGGTTTTCAAAATCTCACATTAAGAAAAAAAATCGTTTCGACAGCTTGGCGACTATGTTCCCTCGAAATTGAACTCGATCCTAAAAGCCTGTGATGGGCCAAGATTGAGGGTTCGACAGCTCAAGGGGGCACCGAAAAGGATAATTCGATAACCTTTTACTTTAGAGCTGAACCCATCATATAGTGAACCTAAAACCTAGGTAAAATCTAACCCGAACCTTAAGAATCCCGTGAGGAGGGTACACAAGAAAAAGCTTTTTGAGTCATTTAATTTCTCTTTTTGAATAAATGTATGCGAACTAGAGATCATGCAGTTAGGTTTATTTTTCAAACCAGCATGCGAATTAGATATCATGCGGTTAGGATTTTTTGTGAATGATAAAGCATGTGAGTAGATATCATGTTGGGTAGGATCTACTAAAGCATGATTGAGTAGCCAACATGTGAGGGTAGATATTATTTAATGATTACGGTACTTATTATCTTGTTATTTATCTTATGTGTACTAACCCCTTTTGGTTTTATGTCTATTTTATTTTGGATTTATTGCATTTGCATCTTTATGTCATCCAAAGGTGTTAATTCATAAGTGATTAACTAATAATAATGTTGGTCATAATGAGATAAGAAATTCTTAACCATGTAGTCAAAATCAGGAGATCTAAAGATGTTCAAACGATCCATGAAGAATGACATCCAATGAATGGAGAAATCTGAAGTTGATTAAAGACTTTCTTTAAAGGCGCAAAGATAGAGATGCTCCCTTATGAGATAGATACAGTCATACCAAAGACGAGAAGACCTTTCATAAAGACATGAAGAACACTTCGTATTTGAAGTAAAAATGGAGATCTCAAGATTCAATTTAAGGACATCCAACATCATCAAAGGTTATAAAATACGTTGACAACTTTGAGTTCAATGTTAGATTCCATGAAGAGTACGACTCAAGGAAATGAAGAAATGAAGAATCACAATTGTATTTTGACTACATGGTGTAATGAAATCTTATTGTCTAAATGAAGGTTGTTCCATGGTGGTCACTTTTGGAATTAACACCTTTTGCATTTGCATTTGGCATCCACATTTATATTCGCACTACTTTAATTTAAGCATTTTTACATGCATCAATCATGAAAACATGAGGACAGAAGCTCTGAAAGCAAATTGAAGTTACCGGGGTGTGTTTCTGGAAAGATAGAAAGCAATGAATGAGATATTAGCACGTGTTAGTAAGATCGAAAGAATCCAAGAATAACTTGTAAATACTCAACAAGAAATGAATGATAAAGCGAGGAAGTTCCAAGATGAATCCAGAGAACAGATATACAAGTTGATGAGCATGATGGTTACAATGATATATGAGGAGAAATCGTTAGAGAACCCTTTTATCCAAGAAAAAAATGAAGATTTCGAGTAAACATCATAATGTTAATTGTGCAACCAATACGATGATAGCAAATGATCAAGAACCTGTTGGGGAGTTTGGTAATCCAAGTCAATTCCAAGGATTGAGTACGACTCCAGAAAATGTGACAGAGATCATGCTAGGAAAAGAGAAAGCTAATGAGGTGAAATGTAACGCCCAGAGCCCCTACAGTTGTAAAAGAAAAGAAGCAGTTATTCGCTTGAGCCGACCAAAGAAAGTCCCATGATCGAAAAATACTTTGAAAGTGTTCCAAACTTATATCTCGAATTTATATCCCCATTTGATTAAAGGTCAATACCTCATACCGAGGCCAGTGAAAGTACAACCAAGCCCTTATGCCCACAGTTATGATCAAGATAGTGTTTGTGATTTCCACTTGGGGGCATCGGGGTATTCTACAAGGAATTGTAGGTTGTTGTTAAATGATATAGAGATGCTTATGAAAAATGGGGTGTGGACACAAGAATTGGTGGAACAGTGGATGACGAACTCGATTGGGGCATCAAAGCATAGTATGTAGCATCTATTTGGGTCAAATGTCGCTACATTAGATGAATAATAGGGCATCCTAATTAGAAAAAGATCATTTCATTCCATCATGAAACTTTATTCCATTTGTAACATCGTATTTGAATTTGTTTTTCATTCTTTCCTCGGTTTTTTTGTAAGGATATTTAAATGAATTTATGCTACTTTAAAGATGGTGAGCATTGAATTAAATTTGCAGACTT